ACAGGTGGGTGGGAGGAGGTGCAGGTGGGTGGGAGGAGGTGCAGGTGGGTCGGAGGAGGTGCAGGTGGGTCGGAGGAGGTGCAGGTGAGTGCTAAGGTGTCTGGGCACATATTGATGTTGACGCAACTAGATGCTGATGGATGTGGGTGTTTGGCCTGAAGATATCGGGAGCCTTGGGAAGAAATTAAATCCCATCCAAGGAAAGCTAAGTACTTCCACACATCCTTGAACCCCACCTTCACCGCAAGGAATCATCAAAGGGCAGGCTCAGGCTGAGCAGGTCTTGGAGCCAGTGGTCTGGAGCCAGGAGATGATCTTGCATCACCTGTGAATGGTTTGCAGGCATTTTGGTGCTACAGGGGAGGCAAAACTTGACCTCTAGGCATCTTAGGTTTTTAGCTGGACTCTTGTTAAAAAAGACAGACTATCCCTGGCCGGGTGGCTCAGTTGCTTGGAGCATTGTTCTGTACACCAAAAGGTTGTGGGTTCGATTCCCGGTCAGGGTGCATACCTAGGTTTCAGGTTCAATCCCCTGTTGGGGCCTCTATGGGAGACAGCAAATTAATGTCTCTCTCTCTCTCCCTTCCTCCCTCTAAAATCAATGAAAACATATCCTCGGGTGAGAACTAAAAAAAAAGAAAAAAGAGAGATTAAGAGAAAAACAGTTTATTTATGTGTACGCATCTTGAGGGAGAAATTTAAAACCGAAATTAAAGCTGTGGCCCAGGACTGCAACTTATATAACGTCTTCAACAAAAAATAATACATTTGTAGAGAAGTGACTGGACAAGGGAAAGCGGTCCCAGGCTTCTAAGGGCAGCAAAGTGTGGGGAGATAAACGTAGGGGGGAACTAATGCAGGAAGGTTTGTTTGCAGATCCCTCTGGTGCCATTTCTGGGCTGGTAAGAGTCTGTCTCCAGTAAAAGAAAAATTTATGTCCGGCCTCTAGCAGAAAAAGGGGCAAGGTACTTTTGTGTTTGCTCTTTCTTAATTGCCTTCAGCTCAAAATAATTTTTATGTCAAAGAGGCATATTTGGGAGTGACATATTTTGATTTCTTATAGTGAATCAGAGGCCCATGCTTCCTCCCACCAAGGAGCTCTGGCAGGGCCAAATCATGACTTTCGGAGTCCTGAAGGACTAAATTTATATTTTTCTGCCCTCTTCCTTCCCCTGCCCATGCAAAAGAAATCTTTTATTTTTTTCCAAATCACCTAAAACACACAATTGTTGCTTCTTTTCAGATCTTCTAGTTACCACAGTCTGAAACTGTTCATGGAATCTGACCTTCTTTCACTTGTTCATTTATTCATTTACTCTTTCTCTCGTTTTCTGGGTTTGCTCGTGTCCCAAACACATGTCCTCTGCTTATTAGGAGACCAGTGGCTCTACCATCATAGCGGTAATGTGGTTGGGGTGAAGATCTACCTAATTTTAGGGCAAGAAGAAGGCATCCAAATCAACTTCTCACATATGAACAAAGGACCAAGGTGAAGGGACTTGCTCAAGGTCACAGATCTATTTAGTACAGAGCCAGAACTCATGCTTCCCAGGCTGGGCAAGAAACAACAGTTACATATTAGCATAGATCCCTGAGCCAGTAACAAGCCACCCTGTAGGCACAGGCATGGCCTTATGCTAAGGCACTGGCAGTTTCCCTCCCCAGATGTAAAGGAAAAGAAGCTCAATCATTTATTGAGCATATATTACATCCAGCCAATTTATAGACATTATCTCCAATCCTCACAAAAATTCTGAAAATAATTAAATATTAAATATTAAACCATTAGAGCTTTTCACATGTGAGAAAACTAAGGCTTGGAATCTAAGTGACTAGATGCGATCGCACAGCTTAGGAAACGGAGACGCTGAGATTCAGCTCTGTTCAGCCTGACTACGGAATCCTGCGCCTTTCTTGAAGGGAACTAAGTGTCAAAACAACTCCCATGCAAGCGCCAAGGTCTGGGCAGTCTGCCTTTAAGGAGCTCCTGGCCAGAGGAGGTGGCAAGGAATGTACCGGTGGGTTTGTGACTGGGCAGGTTTCACAGAGTGACTGCATCTTCGCCCGGCCGGGCGTGGCTCCGCGGTTGAGTGTTGGCCTAGGATCCAGGAGATTGGGGTTCAATTCCCGGTCAGGGCACATGCCCGGGTTTCGGGCTCAATTCCCAGTCGGGGGAGTGCAGGAGGCAGCCAATCAATGACTCTCTCATCACTGATGTTTCTCTCTCTCTCCCTCTCCTTCCTCTCTCTGAAATCAATAAAGACATATTTGAAAAACAAACAAAAACAACAACAAAGTGACTGCATCCATCTACCTAGATAACAAGACAGAGCTTGATCAGCTCCCTGGAGCTCCCTTATTTCACCTTCCAGTCATTCTGACCCTATATAAACAGGCTCATTTAATATGTACTTTTTCTTTTTTTTAATCTTCACCTAAGGATATATTGTTTTTTCATTGATTCTAGAGAAAGGAAGGGAGATAGAGAGAGAAACATAGATGTGAAAGAGAAACGTCAATTGGTTGCCTCATGTAACTGCATTTTGACCCAGTGATTCCACTTCTAGGAATATATTTTCAAAACCCTGAAACATTAATTCAAAAGAATATATGAACCCCTATGTTCATTGCACCATTATTTACAATAGCCAAGATCTGGAAATAGCCCAAGTGCCCATCAGTAGATGAGTGGATAAAAAAGTTATGGTACATTTACACAATGGAACACTACTCAGCTGTAAAAAGGAAGGAAACCTACCTTCTGTGACAGCGTGGATGGACCTGGCCAGTATTATGCTAAGTGAAATAAGCCAGAGAAAGACAAGTACCATATGATCTCACTAATATGTGGAATCTAATGAACAACATAAACTAACAGACAAAATAGAAACAGACTCAGAGATACAGAGAACAGACTGACAGCTGTCAGAGGGGAGAGGAGTTGGGGGGCTGGGTGAAAAAGTGAAGGGATTAAGCAAAAAAAATCATAGACACACGTAACAGCATGGTGATTATCAGAGGGAAAGGGGGATAAGTGGTGACGGAAGGAGACTTGACTCTGGGTGGTGAACACACAATACAATACACAGATGGTGCATTATAGAATTGTATTGGAACCTATATAAATGTATTAACCAATGTCACTCCAATGAATACAAAAAATTTTTTTAAAAGCACAAGAAAAAACCATCCAAATTAAAAAAATTATTTGTACATTTGCAGAAGTGCTTTGTAATACTTTTACATCACTTAAATTTATTTTGTCTGCTGTTTCAGGATGACAACTTCCAAGGGGCAAAAATCACATTGGCCAGGTAGGCTGGGCGATTCAAATGGCAGGAGCTACGCTTTTCTGCCCTTTACGCTTCCCTGGGTGTGATTCGTTACGTGGGTCTCCCAGACTCTTCTTAAACTGATTAGAGAGAGAGGAAGAAAGAGAGAGAGAGGGGAGGAGAGAAACACTCTCTCTCCCACCTCCAATGCTTCATTGGACACTGGGCAGGAGGAGCTGGGAGAGAAGTGGGTTTGCTGTTCCACTTTCTTGTGCATCATTGGTTGCTTCTTGCGTGTGCCCTGACCGGGAATCAAACTCATAGCCTTGGCGTATCAGGAGGATGCTCTAACCAACTGAGCTACCCGGCCAGGGCAAGTTTCCCAGACTCCTGTCAGCTAGGCCCCGGGCTCTCTCTCCCATTCCTTTACCTGAGATGCATCAGGAACGGGCCTTCCATTAGTTACTGGAGAGCAACTCTGCTCTTGAGGACTCATTCTCAGGCCCATAGGTGCTCGCACACTCGCTTCCCCCAGATGTCCCCTCTGAACCAATGAACGGATCACAGACTGGAGCCAGGAAACAGATAATGACATGAAACACAGATTTATTAGGGGAGGAAATAAGCGAGAAGCTGGGGGGGTGGGGGCTGGGGAAGGAAATGAGGCAGAAGCTGTGCATTGGCCTCTTGTGTCCCCACCAGTGAGGGTGGAACCCCAGAAGAAGCCCAGATACATTCCTTGTGTTGGGCCATTAATGCATCAGAGCTGTGGTCAAGCTGGGGGCTGGAGAGGAAGAGGTCTCCTCAGGTCCACCTGCGAGGGTGTCAGGGTGGGATGTAGACTTGGAGGCAAAGGTGAGGGGTGTGATGCGGATCTGAATGGGAAGATCTCCTGACAATGCTTCACTGGACCTTGGGTAGGAGGAGGTGGGAGAGAAGGGACAGTCCTGGAACTGGGGGGAACAGGAGCAGGAAGAAGGGAGGCCCGTCTGGTAGCCTGGGTGGCGCCCAGGTGGTATTCCAGCTGATCCTTACTTCTGCTTACTCTTGGGGGCTTGCTGGGCCATGGGGCACGTCTGCTGAGCAGGGACGGCTTTGCCCTTGGGTGGGCATTGCTTCTTGGCCTGAGAAGCACATGGATCCTTGGTTTGGGGTGCACATGTCTCTTGACATTTGACAGGTGGTGGCTGGCAAGGCTGTTTCACCTGCTGCTGTTGGGCCTTCTGGGGCAGCTGCTGCTGCTGCTGCTGCTGGGAAGACATTGCTGCAGGAACAGGTGACCCTGAAAGAAACCCGGGCAGGGGACGCCATGAGAAGGGCTCCTTCCATCTCTTCTCCCTTCCAACACTGAGAAGAGTGTTTTCTCCACCAGCCAAGAATGTGATAAGCGATTAACGGCTGCAGATTGGTCAATGGATTGATTCACACACACACCCATTGTTGTGACCCTCCTCTCCTTTCCTTTCCCTTCTATGCTGCTCTGATTTCCTATCTTCCTTCATCTTCCCATGGCTTCTTGACTCAACTGAATGCGTAGTTTATTTCTAAGTCTTAGTAGAAAATATGACAGGGATGCTGAGTTGGTGATTAAAGGTAGCCCAGACATTTTACAAGATCAAGGCATGAGCTCTTAGCTGATGGGTCTGCAATGTCAACTGGTTACCCGGGTAGTGCAATGAGTGTGGATGGGCATAAAGAAGAGGCAGCCTCTGTCTCAGAGGGAAGTGCGTGTAAATAATGGGCTGGGCAAACCCTGTTCCGGGTACTCAGAGCACTGAGTTCTAATCCTAACTCCATCCCTGACTGCCCAGGGGGTGCTAAGGCAAAGCATTTAACTTGGCTGTGGGAGAGTGGTTCTAGCCCTCCATGGAGAACTAGGGTAGGGTATTTAAGGCCAAATAGATCATTGGAGGTAAGAGGCCTATAAGGAAGATGTTTCACCAAGAGGCAGCCTGGTTCAGAGGAAAGAGCACTGGCTCCTCACCGGCCAGGCGTACCTCTGGGCAATCTGGACCCCGGGCCTTTATCTGAAGGATGCTGATCGGGAAGGTGTCTGAGGCCTTCCCAGCTCTGACATGGTCTCTGGCTTTCTTTGTAGGCAGAATTCCTCACCTTCTAAATTTGTGATTAGAAATGAGAAGTATAGGTCCCAGGGGGCAATCATGAGACATGGGAGCTGCATAGTATAAAATACAATATATAAAATACAATTTCTGTAAAGCTAAAAGCAAAGTTTGAAAAGCTTATTGGTAGTGCCAAAAGGGCAGGAGGGAGCTCTGAAGAAAGATCAGAATGGCTACAAAATGCTACAGCTCTAAATATATCCCCTCAATGAGAAAAATCAGAATCAAGAAACTTGTCACACCTAGCAATGGAGACTGAATTTCCTAAGTAACAAATAGAATGACATTTCCTTAATCGTCACGAGACTTATGCCAGTTCTCTGATTATCAGAGAAAGAAGAGGAGCTTGGCCTAGAGGCACGAGACAGTTCAAGAAGGTAGGAAAGGGCCCTGCAGATCCCAGCAGGATGAATGCGTCCCCACTTACCAAAGCCGCAAGCTGGACCCTAGGAGGAGAAGCTGAGCGAGGTTCATGGCCAGCCGCCCTGGCAACCTTATAAAGGCCCCCAACCTGCCCCGGGCACTTGGCGTGGCCCTGATCACCACCTCCCAGGCAATTCCTCACCCACTTCTCCCACCTGCACTTCCTCCAGGGACTTGCTTTACTAGACTAGACTCTTTGGACGGAAAACACCCACCAGATGTTCCAGCACCCTGGGCCCCCATCTTCCAGAGCTGACTTCACCCACATAAGGCCTTTGCTCAAACTCAAGGACTCTAGATCTTTTGAAAATAGAACAAATCTGAGGATTTATAAGAAACATTAAGGAAGGAGGAGAAGAAGGGGGCATATGGCCTTGGGGCACTTTCGACAACAATATGAATGTCGCTTTTGCTGCCATTTATTGAGCACTCACTGGTGCCTAGCGCTGAGATCACCCTTGAAGCCGTTGTTTTATTTTATCTTTATAGCCCCTATAAGGCAAATGCCTTTGTTCCCATTTTGCAGATGAGAAAAGTGAGGCTGAGAAGGATCCCATAGGTGGTAAGCAGCAGAATAGGATTTGAACCCAGATGGGAAGGATTCAAAGAACCCAGGGTTTTAAAGATTATTGAAGGAGAAGTCAAGAGTCCAGCCACAGGTTCTCTCTCCCAGCCCTGTCCCACTACACAGGGCTTATGTGTTTCCCAATCTTGTGAGGACCTTTTGCATAGGATTGTCTGTGACTTCTCCTTGAGCACAAGCTGAAGAATGTGAATGGTGTCCCTAAGCTTATTCAACGTGGTGCTGTGCCCCAACCTGCCCACCAGGAGTCAGGCGCTGATGGGCATAAGTGGTGGTCAAAGAGGGTGGGATAGAATTTGGCTTTTGGGTTAGGGCTTCCAGATCAAATACAGAGTACCCAGTTCAAGTTCAAGTTCAGATAAACAAGATACATATTTTTTTAGTGTAAGTATGTCCCAAATATTGTATTAAATATACTATAAAATTACTTATTGTTTATATGAAATTCAACTGTAACAGGGCAGATTATATATTTTTTAAAATATGTTTTTATTGATTTCAGAGAGAGAAAGGGAGAGGGAGAGAGAGAAATATTAATAAGAGTCATTGATTGGCTGCCTCCTGCACGCCCCCTACTGGGGATCCAGCTTGAAACCTGGACATGTGCCCTGACCAGGAATTGAACCAAAGACTGAACTGGGGACATCCTGGTGCTTGGGATGAAGCTCAACCAACTGAGCCACACTGGCCAGGCAAATTGTATTTTTATCTGCTAAATCTGGCAACTATATTCAGATGGGAGGAAAGAACTCTGACCCTCAGTTGGCCTCCAAGCCCCTGGGAGGGAGAGAGACAGGACTGCTCCGGGAGGCTGATCCCCTTTCGACCTCAGGATCCTGCTCAATTAGAGACCAATGTGCTCATTTCTGTCATTGTTGAGCTAAGTGTAAGGCTGCCTGAGAAATGATTGAAAAACCTAAAAGTGATTGTCAAATCATTTCCAAATCCCTTATTTAATTTTCATGGCAGTTCTGCTGGGTAGTTTAAATCAGATTTTACAGTTAAAAAGTAGACCCAGGAAAGCTAGCTGACGGCTCAACAACATGTAACTGATAGGGGCAGAGTCGGGTGGGGACATTTCCCAAAGCTCGTTTGCACTGTATCACAGTGGCCAGCATCTCCTTGTGGACAAGGACTGCCCCTGGGCGGGGACCATGACTAATGATCTTACCTGAGCTTTCTGTCATATGTAGACCGGATATTGCTCATTTTCCAGGATCAGTTAAACCTTTGAAATTAAGCCTTCCTTCCCCCTCCCCCCAAACCCACCATCTTTAAGATCGGCTCTGGATTCGGGGTTCTGCGTCCCATCTTGGAGACAACACCCTCTCCACCTGCGCCCCTCATTTCCACGCTCCTACTCCACTGTGTTCGCCCTGACACAGACTCTCCAAAAGGGAAATATGCAGCAAGACAGACGTGGTATGGAGGTAAATCAAGGCATCCCATGTGCCTGGCCCCTGGAAGGCCTGAGTGTAGGTGTGCTGGGTGCAAGTGAGTAGATGGAGCCACCCCTCCCGCCTCAGTCACCACAGGGCTGCTCAGGAATACACTCGAGTCTTTATTCTTCTGAATCTGCTCGTCGACCCCTGGCTTGATCAGTAAACAGCTCCTGCTTAAGACTGAGAATTTTAGCTCGAGGCTGCTCCAGGGGTGGCTGAGATAGAGGCCGAAGCATGGCTGGCCTTGAAGGGGCTGTGCGCTCCAGGTCATAAATCCCTAAGACGACATCAAGTTCGTCTGCATCCAACACATTCAACTTTTCAAACCCTTGGCGCTCAACTTTCCTGTTGGCCACACTATCCCCATCTTATTGAGGGGGACACCGAGAATTGGAACTGGGACATGCTCTGCTCAACATCACAGAGAGGTTAATGTCAAAGCCAGGATTGGATCACAGGTCATCTGACGTCACAGCTATTTTCAGTCAGCTGAAGTGACTGAGCCACTGGGCTGCTTCTTAGCAGAGGCTACGTTAATGACTAAATGGAGTTGGCTCTGGTGGTTCCCACCTCTTGCACAAGTCTCCCTCCTTCCCTCCTTGGCACTCAGGTGCTCCCTTCCTTGCCAAGCCTGTCTTCCCTCCTTTCTCTAAGAGACCCACACTGACCCCTGGTCCGCACATGCCAGGCACAGGTGCATTTTTATTAGTCGTTAAACCTCATAAAGCACCTCCATATACAGTTTTCACAACACTCTATGAAGAAAGCTAATTGTGTTATAAATTTTATGGCTGAGAACACTGGCTCTGATGGTGGCTGGATCCTGAAACTAGAAGAGAAGGCCGATCCAAGTCTCTAAAATCTGTAATGACAGATTTCCAGCCAGAGTGGACTCTCCTTTCAAAGGAGGAAGAAGGGGGAGACTCCCTGGCACCCCTGGAATCAATCGCCACATGTAAACAACTCCTGCAGGTATGGCAGGACCGGAGAAGCCAAGTGAAATGGTGACTCTGTAGTTCCCACTCTGAAACCCCACTGCCCAGCCTGGCCTTGGACCATCATCACCCGGCCATCTTGAGTCTTGCATCTGCTCTCTCATCCTCAGAGGGCCATGCTGTATTGAAACCAGAAGGCCAGGCTCTGCATCTTCTCTCTCTAGGGAGCAAGACACCTGAGAGCAGGTGTGTGCCTTTGACTCCATCAGGGAGGGGAGGGAACAGGCAAAACTCATTTCTGAGGATGAATCAAAGCTTGAGAAACCCCAGCTCCACCCTGCAAACAAACAAAGGGGTGACTGGGCAACAGAAACCTGACACTGGGAGGGGACCCTGCCAGAGACAATAGGACTAATCATCTATTTCTCTATCTAGACTCATCCCCACCAGAGAACTTTTTCTCTGGGCTTTGGGGAAAAGGGGTTGTTGATGGCTCCATCTGGAGACACATGGAACATATTTATGATGCTTTTTCCAAGAACAAAACAAGAAAAGACAAAAGAGAGTGCTGGGTTACTCAGGAGAGGCTTTTAGGATGGGAAGGCAGAGAGAACCATAGAGGTTTGGGGCTGCCGCCATTCCTGTATTTTAGCTGCTTATCCAGTAAAATAAAAAATGTAAATCTGGGCAAATTACATCCTATTTTAAAAATCATAATCATGTCAGGTTTGCTTTATCTTAATTTCTGGTTAATACTTAACCAGCAGGTGTGGCTTAGAACATTTCAGTTTCGAGTTTCTCCTTTCACCAATTAATCTATCAACAAACACGGCAGGGAATGCTACACTAAAGAGATCTTGTGACCTTTTATTAATGTGGAAAATCCATTTGCAACATGAGTCACTTCATCTTGTAATTTACCTGTTTGTAAATAAGATGCTCAGATGCTATGTTAAGTATTTTGTGTAATGGCATTAAAAGCACACCCATGGGGAGAAGAGTGAGATGATGAGTCTCCAGAAATATATGATTAATTTATCTCCTTCCTCCACCCCTCATCCCTCTATGATATGTTTCTAGAAGACCCTCAACAGTCCTAGGAGTTTTCTAAAGAGAGATTTAAAGTCCTGAATCTTGTGAGAGGCTAGTTCCAACAGAACACCCATTGATGTCACCTGTGGAAGTTGAAAACTGGCTGTGGAGGGAGACGGGGTGAGTGGGCAAAGCATCCCTCAGGGAAGATGGCCAATCATTCCATCTGTGATAGCCCTCTATGCCCAGATTCCCAGTGAAATTCAAGGTAATCTTTAGGAATCATTTTAAATACTACTTTCTCCATGATCTCTTTGGTTTGTCTTCTGCAGAACACCCATAGCTTTTTATTTATACCTACCTGAAGAACTTTTCACATAATTTTTGACTTGATATACATATAAATTAGAAAATATCTATTTATTTACTTATTTTAGCATTAAACGTAAGTTCCTTGATGGCAGGAGCTATTACACCTTCATCAAATATATATTGTATCCACTCAATAAATATGAACAAATGAATGCAGAAATGAATGGGTGAATGATTTATAAATGAATGAGTTGAACCGAATGGTAAACTGATTCAGACATTTTGGCTTTACAGTCAGAACCAATGAAGTACCAAGACGCTTTCTGGGCTAAGCCATCTTTTCAAGTTCAGGCTTATGTTCGCCCTCTCTAAGTAGCTCTCCCTGTTTACCCCAACCACATGCTCTGTCTTTATATCTCTCAAACTTTGAAGATCTATGCTGAAATCAACCATTACTCGTAGGAGGCCCTGGTACCTGGATGTGTGTGTGTGTGTGTGTGTGTGTGTGTGTGTCTTTGTACCCAGTCAAACTACTAGATTCCTAAGGGGAGGAAAGATGTTCAGGACAGAACTTAGACCCTGGTTAAAACTGGTGTTTGGTCAGCTGATAGACTAGCTAATCAGTGAGTGGGTGGTCCAATTATTGAAGGATGCTGTTGAGTGAGTGAGTCAGAGAGTGAAAGAAGGAAGGAGTGAGTGAGTGTATAAAGCTGACAAACTAGCTGGCTGACTGACTAGTTTTCTGAACAGCTGACTGGTTGAGTGGTTGACCAACTGCCTTACTGACTGGCTGACTGATTAGCTGGCTGGCTAATGGGGAATTTTGGACAGCAAGGTCTGCTTTAGCATAGCAAGGAAAACCAGATTGGGGACATGGGAATAATGGTATAAAACCAAAGAGACTGCTCTGTATAGGTGCCCGTAAGAAGGGTTTATTATTAGCTAGACAACTATTTCTTAGTTTTCTTTCTTCTTCTAGGAGTCCTCTGTGATCTCCATTCCTAGTCAACTGAGCTCAGTAGATGTAACCTCAAGCAAAGGCCAGCCAGAGGCAGCCATGGCGGAACAGTAGATCTCTTCCTAGAAAAAGATGGTTGGGGAAAGAGAACATTTTCATTTATGGCACTGCCCAATGGGGACCCTGGTTGTTCCTTGTGCCTTGGGTGGTGAGCCGGGCCTCAGATCTGTCCCTCAGGTCAGAGAAAGGGGCCTCTGTGATGGTGGCTAAGATAGGGAACCAAATCAAACAGACAAATTAGCAGACACCACAAGTTAGGCCAGTTTACCCAGTCAATGCCCTGCTCTCTGACCACAGAGACCTTCCTTGGGGAAGTGGCTACAGAAGTAGCTGCAGGACCTAGCCTCAGACAATGCCAGGTGATGACTCAGACCCCCAGGTTAGACCAGGGCTCACAGAGCTCTGAGCTGCCACTCTGTCAGTGATTGGCTTTGTGCCTACTCAACAGACTGATATACCCTGCCACAGCCACCCGCCTGAACTGGACAAGAAGGGAAGGGGCAGGACAATACCTTCTATCCATAGTAACCAAGCCACTCCATGCCCAAACCCTTCTGTGATATCCACAGCCCTCTGGATCAAGTCCACGGTCACTCGCAGGGTGTAAAAGGCCCTCCACACTCTGGCCCTCTCTGAGAAGGCTTCTAGTCTCTCTTCCCGGTAACCCCACCCTTCTCTACAGCTCCAACCAGAAGTCATGATGTGTGGCCCTCAGGGGCACGCACATCCTCTGCCCAGGCTGAGCTCAGCGGCTCCCACATTGCTGGGTCCCCCTTCCTGGTGTGTCTCCCCTCTGTGTCGGCCCCCTGGTAGAACAGGCCCTCTGCGTGCTTTGTTCGCAGCCTGTGTTCCTTCCTGCTGGGCTGTGGTTCTTTCTCCTACTCAGGGCCCTGGCGGCCCTTTGCATATAGGAGAACCTGATAAAGGTCAGTTAGGTTTTCTAGGATGAGACTCACGTTTCAAAGGAAGACAACACCAGGATCAATAATTCTAAGGGGTAGGTTTCCAAAACTCTCTTAGGTGGGTGAGGCAGATGGTGCTACATTCATAAAGGCTTTGCTGCTCGTGCCCCTCTCCCCCAGAGACTACCTTCCCTGCCCCCTTGATGATGGCATCCCTGGCCTCTGACTTGCTTTGCCCATAAAGTGTCAACTTGAAGAGCCACCAAGGTTCAGCATGCTCTTTCCCCCTCTGCCATGAGAAGGGCCGTGTTCCAGATCGGGGCAGCACTGCCCGCTGGCATCCTGCAGTTAAATTAACGTGCAGCAGGACGGCAGCTGACCCTAGGTGCACAGGTGGGGTGAGCAGAAATTGCCTTTGTTGTTTTATGCTGCTGAGATTCAGGGTTTCGTGGTTACTGAAGCACGGCTTAGCCCCTCCTGACTTCCTTCTCCCGAGGAGATTCCACTCCTGGTTCTGCTTGGCTCTGGCCAAAGGGGAAAGAAATGCTTGAACCCAGCGTATCCTAACTGGCAGCCAAGACAGTGACTCAGGTGTGCGCGTGCCCCTGTGTGTGTGCACGCTCAGATGTGTGTGCCTGCCCGCCCCGGAGGTGGGCTGTAGGAGGACAGGAGGGGCAGGGAAATGGAGGAGGCAGCCTGGGCCTACACAGTCCACAGCAAGGACATGTGCTTGCAGGCAACTGATATTTTCCTACAAATGACTTTCTGTCTGTGGTTGGGAAGCTAAATAAACCATCTCTTTTCTCACTCTGGTCACGGGACCTTGAGCCAAACCACAACCCACGTCAAGCCCTAGGTAGTTAGGGCAGAGCGCCGCCTGCTGGGCCTGCAGAGCCAGCGCAGCGGTTTTCAATAGCAGCAGAGTCTCGCCCTCAGAGGCTGGTACAGACCTGAAGGCCCCAGAAGACCCTCCTGAGCCCCTCACCTCTCTTCACAGGCAGAGGAACTAAGCACCTCGGCCGGTTCCCTTCTTATTCCAATGGCTTCGCAAGCTGGTCCTTCCCCAATACAGCAGATGCTTCTGGAGGACCTATCTGTGCCCAGCCAAGTGTTTGGTAAACCAACAGGCAGTGAGTGGGACAGGAAGACAAGGGACCAGGTGATAATCTCCAAGACGGCTAAGTGTAGCACACTAGGGGAGCCACAGGACATTTACATCTCCTCTGGTGGTTCACAAAAGGCTTCTGGACCTACACAGCCGGGCCTCCACCATCTCTTCCCTTGAAGAATCGCTACTCTAGCAAACCATTGTTACTGAAAGAACAGGGGAGAAGTTATGAAGTGCAGGTCTAGCGGATGAAAAGCCTGCAGGTGCCCCTGGATGGTGAGGGTGTGGAGACCTCTGTGCCTGAGGCAGGGCAGGGTGGACAGGAAGGCACCTTGGAGTGGAGCCTTGCCGAGAATGAGTGACCCAGCTTTACCGACCCAATGATCTGGTCACATGCCTCCCTCCAGGCCCATTCCCCTTTGGTTGTAACTGAGCCTTTAGCACAGTCCTGTTTAAAGGCTGCTCTGCTTTCATTTTAGTTCCGATACAAGAGCTTAAAAAGAGGAAGTCACAGTTAGCAAGAGATCTCCAAATGGAAGGTGCATCTTGAGGAGCAAGAGTTGGGCTGAAGGTCCATGCTTCCTCTCTTGGGGCTTGTTTTCCCACTGGTGACCTCAAAGGACCATCTCTAATTTCAGCTGGTGGAGATTTCTCACAGAGACAGCTTTAATTACCACTCAGCTCCCAGCTTTCCTCCCACAAAAGCCATCTGGCTCCAAGCCCTGGGGCAGACGGTCCCTCTTGGTCCAACCCGGAGGTAGAAGGAACTTATCGTCAGCCCCACTGTGAGCC